TGTAATATCCTGCCTATCTGGTTGGTTAAGACCACTCTAGGCGGCTTACAGCAAAAAACAAACAAACAAACAGATATATATAATTCAATTCAATTAACTAATTCAATCAGAGCCCTGTTGCAAAAGGTAGCTTGTCATTCATTTTCACAGAACCAGTGTACTGAACAATTCAACTTGATTTGGTTTGTTTTAGAATGACTACATGTAAATTAAAGTTGTCTAGGGCAGGCATTTGTCATCTTCTATTTCTACATAGATCTTTCAACATTTCCCCAACGTCAAAAGCTAGAAGAAATTTGCAGTCTCCATTTTGATGAATGATTTTGGATTTACATTTACTAAATTTCAACTCCAAACAATAAGGCATAGTTTGTAATAGCTATAGTAACCATGCACACTCTCCAGGGCCTTAGGATACCTTACCAGGTTTAGTTTGTTTCAGATGAGACAGCAGATTAGTCTTTAGCATTTACTAGCAGATTGTTGGGTGATTTATACTGGATTCACATGGGTTTCTGACCCCTAGTAATTTTCTAATAGCAACAAAAATGTTGTTTCTCCATCAACAATCTTTATTCCTACGTCTATTAAACTACTAAAAGCCTCAGATATGTAGTAAATCAGATGTAAAAGTGTATCTATATATGCAGAGCCTATACTATCACAGATGGATACCAGGTCCATCTCCTGAATCACCATTTTGCATTGGGCCCCTTCTTTTCCCTCATATTGCACCAGGGCCGAGTTACACACGTTTTATTAAAGCTATTGAAACTATGAACACCATAAAACTTTTTTGCAAACTGAGATATTTTAGGTTATGTGCCTTTAAATATATGAGACCTAATGGCATTCTGAAGAGGCCTGGCAGTAGGGCTGTGCTCTCAACAAACTGGTAGATTACTGCAAAGAGAACAATGGATAGTAGATCGCCGATAACCTCCAAACCAATTCTTGTACCTGGGTTACAAAGAATCATACAGATCTGTAAGGACGTGAAGAAATAAAAAGAGAAAAAAAATCCTTGGGGAAAGGACACTAATTCGTTTGAACCAGTGTCAATTTCATCAGCCTTGCGGCACTCCTAAGCTCTTATGTTTTTTTACTGTCGAACTGGACACATGTAATATATCTCGTTGACATGGGCACTAGCAAGCCTGGAGACACTTTGCAACAGCATAAAAATTCTAGACTCTGCAACACCCATATTATATCTAGTACAAAGCCAAGCTTCAATGTGATCCGGTTCTCATTTCCTGTGAATATCTTAGCCATTAAATCCACATACTGCTTTGAGCACTTCACAGATGCTACACTTAATAAGGAAGACAGTGATTAGCAGTCCAAGCCAGTTACTGATTATACAATACATTATACAGATACGCACCAATTCACTACATAACTAACAAGCCACATAATTAGATAGCAGCTTCTTGAGTGGAATTCTCTTTTATCATGACTTCCTGGAATTCTTTAATTTGACTTTGTCTAGAGATTCCACAGCTGTAAAAAGCCTACACAAGAACCAAGTGGGCAGGACACCAAAGAAACTGATTGACTGTGACAATGCTTATATCAGAACTTTACAGTATATATATGTGCATGTATGTATAGTTTGATGGTATAGTTCATTGATATACTATGTATAGAGATGTATAGTTTATTGCTATGTGCGTATGTAAACCTTTATGTAGATCTTAAATGGGAGAAACCTACATACCATTTTCTTCTGTTTTCTTTTAGATAATTAAATCATATACCTGCTAGTAATTAAAGCAGCATTTCTATATCCATTTATTTAAGAACATGCTTCACTGAACTCAGTAGAACTTAGGTAGATTCAGTCAGACATGTAGAATTCTGAATATAAGACTGCAATGTATAAGGTTTCCAAACAAACACAGAAAAGATCATGGCTTATAATTTATAATATGAACTTTTTCAGAAGCCTTCTTGCTTGGCCATTTGCTATGTGTGCCAGAACTCTGAAGATATTACGCTGTCTAGAGAGACAGATGAATTGCTCCTCAACTGACTTGACAGAGCTTTAAGAAGTGCTTTTACCCTCCCCAAAAGAAATTAATCTAATCAGTTTTCTAAAGTTAACACAGTTGATAGCAAATGGAAAACAATAATTAACACAGACAATGAATGATATGGAATGATTATTCTTTAATGTTTTTTCTGCCCTTGTTTTGAAGAGACAATAAATACACAAAATAAAGGCAACATGTATCATATTTCTTGGATATTTTTGCAATGCAGAAGGACTGTAGCTAGCAAACTGACAAAAGCTGTTTACTAGACAATACATTGTACTTCAGGTAATTATATTGGAATAATATTTTGAAAGAGATCTACACAATAGCAGGACAGGCGGTGAGGGGATTGCAACCACATGATGTTGTTACTCGCACTTCAAGGTAGCTACAACTTCTCCAGTTACTAAAGCAGTCTCAGCTCCGTGCTGTGGCTGTTTGAGGCTGTTCTGACTGTAGCTGCTTTCCAAGATATTCCCTGAAAGAAAGGAAGGGCAAAGGAAGGAGAAGGGTTTTTTAAAATACTGATCTATTTCCACATGGAAGTAGTAGTGATTGTCATTTTCAAAAGATGATTCCAAACAAGTACATCACACTGTGCCAGATATCTCAACTACAACTGTGACAATCATTCACCAGTGAGTATGCTGGTGAGGGCTGATGAAACTTGTAATACAAAACCAATAGACGAAGGCTGTCTATTTGTGTCACTCACAAAAGCTATGTAGACTTTTGGTTAGAAGTCTTTCCCCACCCTATTTGGAAATAATGTGACTGAATCTGGCACCTTCAGAATGCAATATATGATCTCTGTACCTGAACTATAGTCCACATTTTCAGCTTGTGCCTTGTCTCGACTATGTGACAGCTTCTTGTTCAATAAATGTTACATTCAAACTCCCACCACCACCAAAGTTGTTCTGTCTGATCCACAAATGTTTACCAGCATATGTCTGGCATCATTTAATAGTCACCCAAGTTCAATAGACTCAAACTAGAACAGGGGCTAAGACTATTTAACTTGAGTAACACACACACAAGCAAATTGTGAAGGATCACTCTTGGTGGTGATGACTCAAAATCTCTCTCCTTAATTTTTCATTATCTGTGAGTCTGATTGTGGAATCCTGCCAGTATAACCCAGTCATCTCAGAGTTCCTGCAACACTGTGTTTGGGTGCCGAGGGAGCATTAACTAATGCTTAATCATTCTCTTTGCTCATATCAACCTGCATCTTAAGCAAAGAGGTTGCATACATTTTTACAGAAATTTATACCAGTACTTATTATAGTCAGACAATCCTTATTTCTATCTTTTGGTCCTCACACTGTGACATTCTGCTATCGTCCTATGCTCTACTATGGCCAGCACTCATAAACTCCATGATGCTTTCAAGTTCTGATCTCTCCATAGCTTATAATTAGAGATGGGGATGAACCATGTCCTGGTTTCTAGTCCATCAAAGTTGACAAACCACGAACCATGAATTTCCCCTCCCAATGAACCAACAAATCACAAAACAGCTTGAGGCTGTATATATAAAAAAGCTGACCCCTGCCCCTCAGCCCCCTTTCCACTACCCCTGTTGCATCCCTACCTTGGCTGCTGTCATCTGGGCCCACAGTCCATGCTGCCACAGCCGCCAGCGGTGGCCTGTGCCACGGCAGCCTCCACAGCCTTCATCCACCATCACTCACTGCGGTGGCCTGTGCAACGGCAACCTCTGCAGCCACCATCCATTGCCGCCCTCTGCGACGGACTCCACTGCTATGGCCTGCCTTAAGGGAATCTGGGCTGTCCTTTGCAAAGATGGCAGCTGCAGCTTCCCTACCTAGGAGAAGCCACAGCAACCATCTTTGCAAAGGGCAGCCCAGATTTGCTTAAGGCAGGCTGTGGAGGCCACCGCAGCGGGCAGCAATGGATGGATGGTGGTGCAGGGCAGCAGCGGATATAGGCAGCAACTAAGGTAGGGAGGGGAAGGGGGTGGGAGACAGGCCGTGAGGGTAGCTGTGGGGCTGGCTGGCTGCCTATAGGCCTGCTGATCACCTGATCAGCGGACCCACAGGCAGAGTGGTAAGGTCATAGTGGTACGGTCTCTTCGTGTGTGTGACTAATAAAAATTGACAAATATTCATCCCTTCATATTCATTGGGGTCTCTGTAATTCATGAATAGGAAGGGATGAATATTTAATGAATCAGAGATTTGCAATGAATACTGCGATTTGTTTTTATTTGTCACCATGTCTACTTATAATGTATGAGGACAGTGAACAGATAGAATAAGTGAACTGATATAAAAATCTCTTAAATGAGAAAGGGAACTTATAATGTATGAGGACAGTGAACAGATATAATAAGTGAACTGATATAAAAATCTCTTATATGAGAAAAGGTGCAACAACCAAAAATTATCATAATGAATGAATTTATCTGCAAGCAATTTTCTATGAATTATGCACTATTCACTGAAGTGTGGATACCTTAAGGATTGAACTGGCTTACCAAAACATTGAAAGTAGTTATAATCCAGATCGAGGTACTGTCATGGAGAGGCCAGAACTATTTCTTTAGTAGGCAACTGCTAATATGTGAATGAGTTACACATGAACCTCTCAAAGCTGACGTGTTAGTCCAAGCCTAGTACTACTGAAGGATCATGGGAGTTTGGGTCCAATAATAAACACCCAGATGGCCACACGTACCTCATGATCAAACTCACCCCTGAGCTAGTAGCTGGATATTAATGGCTGAAATTCTTAGGACAGTAAGTTGCCCTAGAGTAGGCGCACTGAATCAGTGGGGATTTGGTGAGTCAATTCTTCTGAAATTTCCATTGATTCAAAAGTTAAAGTAAATCACAAGTAGAGGAAGCTCGTGTGAATCAATGGAACTTATGGAGGAGCTGACTTGCCAAATCTACACTGATTCAATGCACCTACTCTAGCTGTAACTTTCTTCCCCAAGCAACAGCATTTCAGCCAATATTATTAAATATACAAATTTAAGGAATATAGTTATTAAGAAGTGGCAATTACATACATGAATTTTACAGAATTTTAGGCATATTAGTGTTCCCCAGACCAGCCTGAACAAAGTTAAAGATATGCTCATTTAGGCACCATTGTTAAGAAAGAAAAGAGAGAGTTAAGACTGTGTATCATTTCCCATTGATTGAAGTTTTGTTGAAGTGCTTATATTTGACCCAATCAGGCCTCATGTAATGTTTACTCATGTAGAACTTCTCAAGCTTTTATTTCTTGTAGGATGTTAAGATGACTTTTGAATTAAACCTCAGTAGATTAAAATTTAACTTGAAACTTCATTTGCTTTGGTAATCTGATTTACTTTCTTCATCCACATGAATAAAAATAAGTTAAGTAGGCTGAGCAGGAAATAATTTGCATATTGAAAAGCACTGCATTTTTACACCATAACAACATCATTCTAAGAGGCAGAAGTAAACTGCGACCAATTGAGTCACACACAATTTAAAACACTGTTTCCTCCTATAAAAAAATCAGAAAAGAGATTACTGTCATCAGGAAATAAATGGCAACATTATCCTGATGATATAGTGAGATACTAAGAGTGGAAAGAAAAGAAAAAACACAAGAGCTGCAGTGTAGAATTGATAGAGTTGTTATTACTCAGTGAGTTGGAGCACCTAGCTACAGAGTCAACTGCTGGGAGTTAAAAATCTCTACTGTGCCTGCCAGGAGAAGCCAGCTGAACCCACTGAGAGCCTGTATGGCTGATAATTTACATGTCCACCATTTGTGCAGCCTTAGGCAGGATGCATGGCCCCAGGAATGATAAACTACTTCTAATTAGTTTGTGCTTAGAAAATCCTGGGCGGGTCACCATAAACCTGAATCAAGTTGATGGCATGTTATGATTATTATTACTACTGAATAGAATCCCAATATGAAACTCTTGAAATCAGGAAGTGCAAGAAGTCAATATTTGCAAGAGGAAACCAGACATTCATTATGAAACTCACAAAGAGAAACATTCAAAATATTAACTTCAGATATAAAGATAGTTTGCATAACTTCACTCAACTGCAACACCAATTCCAAGTGGTAAATAGACATCTGCAAGCTTGTTGATATAGAAAAAGCTTCTTGATCATCAATGAGTTTTAATTGTTTCAGAATTCTGCATCTGATTTAAACTAAGAGTTCTTTCTTTATTTTTCGAATGCCTTAACATTATGTCTTTTCATGCGGTGAAGGCAACATTTTGCATAATAGTCAATCTATAAAGCAATGTTTCTAAATGTGGCCTTCTCCATGTGGGTGACAGGCAAGCTATAGTGGTTCTTAGAGAATCAACCACAGACTTAGAGGTCGAAGCTTAGAGAAGGGGTTGCTCATGAAGAAGGAAATTTTAGAAGCTTCTGCCCTCTATGCTGGCTTGTGTAAGTATTTCTTCCTTATCAGTGGTCTTACAAGCCTATCTTAAGATTGTATGCTATGCAGACGACTGAAGTTCCCATTGTAACATCAGCTTATAGAGACTCCCTGTATCCGAGTCCTTATATGTTCTTTGCCTGCTGGCCTTTTGGATGAGTGATCCACCCATTGCCCATTACACCTTGCATTTTCAATTGCACCAGAGTGCATACATGAAAGAATAGCATCCCTTCTATACAATTACAAAAAATTAAAGGATGTTTTCAGAAGCTTTTTGTCACAAAATTGTATTTCTCACCTCTGATGTCTTTCCTTCTGCATACGTGAGGACACAATAAGCTCCTAGAGTATGCCTAGGCTATATAATTATAGTGGATAGGTAATGGGAGTATTAGATTACACAGCCTGCAGTATGACATTTTAGAAGCCCGTCTTTATTCTGTTCCCAAGGAATGGGGTAGCAATAATAGCCCATAATAACCAAATATATAACAGTCAGGCTAGTTATTTGCTTTTTTCCAGTTCACACATTTACAAAGTATTAGTTGTATTGAGGGGGCCATGAAGGACACATGTACCTGATGAGTCTCTATTACAGGAAAAATACTTCAAATGATGATCTAAAATTAAGCTGTTATTTCAGATGAGCTTTTTTCTTTCCTTTTTCAAAGACTAAAACTAGAAAGGTACCAAAAAAGCTCCTTTACAGATTCAGAGAATGGCAGGCACTTGCAGAAACAAAAATCATTTTTGAATAAGAATTCAAGGTATGCTAGAAGACAAGATGTAACAAGTAGATTTGAACGCAAACCACCAAACCAGTGGTTCGTGTCAGTTCGTTTTTCAGCCAAGCAGGTGTTCATAAGCCATTTGTGCTGGATTAAAGGTACAGAAGATGACAAATATGTGGCTAGGAGCCATTTCCACAGTCATTTATCATTGCATGGAAGAAGGCACTCAGGCAACTGAAACACTGGAAATAATGACAAAAATCTTGTCTTCAGACTGCTGTAGCATTTTCGATCCTACAGAGCTATTTCAAGCTTATTATAAATGGGAAGCAAACCAACTTCCTATGTAGTTAACTACACCCTGAAGTTTGTCTTAGTGCAAAGATCTGGGAAAGGGGATTGGGAAATGTTTTAATTATTTCTCACAGCTATTATGAGTTCTACATTAGCACAAAGACTTCTCCAGCACCTGGACACTGGAATGAAGGTAAGAATTTTGAAGGAAGGAAGGAAGTGCCCATAAAGAACAAAATGTTTGACGACTGTAATCAGTTAACATTTTTGTGACATGAAATGCAATCTACTGCTACACCTATCTTACATGAAAAAGATAGCAGGAGCCTTTCAGACTGTGCCAGATTTAAAATACAGTACACTGTATTGATTATAAAGAAAATAGAAGAGATAATAATAGACAGGATGAGCAACCCTCAGGACCCCTTGCCAAACAGAAAAGTAAAAGTGTTCTCAAACGTGTGATAAAATAATGTGTAAAAAATAATGATAGCACCACGACAATTCTGTTAATTGTTTAGAATTAAAGTAACACAGAGGCCAAAGGAAGTAGTAGAATTATAATTAATCCCTTGAAGAAGTTGCAATTGCTCCTTGGCGAGATGTACTTTCTTCTGAGCAAAACAATCTTCATCCCTCAGCTAAGAAGAACACTGTCTTGGGCTTTCAAACTTGGTTTCCTGAAGCTTCAGGAAGTGCCTACATTACTGCTTTGAGAAAATTTAAAACAGAACTGCTATATCCATTTAACCAAGCTCCCTCAGGGCTGCTGGGGTTGAAGACTGTGCCAATATGAGATCCCACAAAGCAAGGGCCTCCTTCCTCAGGTCCTATCTGTACCCTGGGCTCCTGCCTCAACAAGAACTTTGAAAAATTGAGTTCTGACACATGGACAATGAACAGGTTTTCTCTGGCACAAGGATTCATGAGCTGAAGTTCAGAAATCATGCCAGGAAAAAATAGTCCAAGCTCCCTCAAGCTCTCTGTTTTGCTGCAAAAAGAGTTAAATGGCTATCCTGGATTTCTATCTTGGTCAGAATCTGGAATTCAGGCCCTCAGTCCTGTCCTGTTGCTCAACAGAGACCTCAATGTACATTGTGTGGAGCTCACCCCACCTTCCTCTACCCAGTGTGTGCCACCACTAAACAACCATCCTCACATCCCTTCACTAAGTTTGGAATTGCCATTTAACTTGTAATAGGGACTCCTTCCTAAAGTACTGTATCTTTTTTTATTAAAATCATGTAAACAACCAGTGTTCCTTTTGCACTGCTGCTTAAACATTGTCTCAGATAAGGGCTGAATTTACACTGCCCTTTTAAAAATAACAACAGCACCATTGATAAAACATGCACAGCGAATGTATCATGCCATCTTGATTATGCAGGGCTGGCCAATGAAATAACAATTTGTGATCACCATTTTCAGAAATACCGAACAGGATTTGTAAACAAAAAAGTTTTAGTTTAGAAAAAGGTTTAACATCACAAGCTGCTAAGTTCATATCACATTGCTAATCTTTCATCTACTTTATAAAGTAAATTTATCTCATTTATTTTATACTTTCAGTTGTATACGATGAATGCAGCAGCTTGCAACAAAGGTTTTATAATCAGTGAAAAACGTTTAAGAATTCATTTTTCTCTTAAGTATTCACAGTTCAGAAGACATACATATCCTGCATTTCTGTCCAACAAACCTTTGATGAATATGTTAATGGATTTTTTCTGGAAGGCATCCTAATGGATACACATTAATGGCTTGGAATAAGGCATTCTAACTAAAAGCAAAGTGATCATCATATGTTTAGTGTTTCAGTCAAACTTCTTTTCATACGGTTCACTTAAATTTGTTATTTTGTCGTAGCAAAATGGAGCAAGGGGCTGACAGCAAAAAAGGCTGTCATCCAAACATTTCATCTGACATCCATAGATACTGTCATCTGCTGGGTCCATTTTACTTTTTTTCTTTAATAAAAAAAACCCCACAGAAACAACAATACAAGTCTTTCATTAAGCTCATAAAAAAGCCATACAAGTATACAACTGAAAGTATAAAATAAATGAGATAAATGTACTCAGATAATCGCTGTACCAAATATGTGTGTTCTGCATCAAGTTGCAATTGACATATAGTGACTTTAATAGGGCTTTCAAGGTACGTGAGATATTTAAGGAATGGTTTTACCAGCTCCATTCCCCCAGTGAGTTTCCATGACCCAGTGGGGATTCAAACCCAGTTCTCCAGAGTCTTAGTCCATCACCCTATCCACTATACCACAGAAGTAACATTAAAAAACATACACATTCACACAATACTGGATGTCATAATCAATTACCAGCCCTATATGCATCATAAAAAAAGAGATTCATTCTGTCAAAAATGTACATAAGTTAGCTATCACACCTACCAATTGTGAACCATCAGCTTTTGCACAGCAAGCAAGGCATTATAGCGAACTTGTTGGTCTTCATGATGCATGTGGTTCATTACAAGTTGTTTTCCACCAAGCTGCTCAATTACACTGGAAAGAATAAGAGAGAGTAAAAAGGATAGGACAAAAGAAGGGACATCATGGCTTTGTGCCCTCACAAAAGTCTTCTTCCTCTTCCAGTTATCAGCAGTAGTTGTCGAAGAGGTAGCAGTGTTAATCTGTGAGCATTATAAGTAAAAACAAAATTAAGAAATAAAAATAAAAGAACAAATGAAAAAGACAAAAACGTAGTGGCACCTTAACTATTTTATATACAAAATATATAAAATATGAGTAGACATCAGTAGACATCATCTCCCAACCATGAATTGCTAGTAGACAAATGATACATTTCTATGCATCTGAAATATACTGAAGCATGTCTGGTATTCAGAGGTGACTCTCTTGTGAAATTCTCTAAAATCAAGTAATCCTGGCTTTTGTACTTTCATCTTTAAACTTCATCAATAGATGTTTCAAGTTGTTGCTATTTTCTGCAAATAATTTGGTGTCATCTGCATATTTAAATTAAGGCATTGCTATGGGTTTGGAAGAAATACTCAAAATAGGTGAAGCAGTCATATTTGTCTGTTGTCACAGGAGATACAGGCTAATCTAAGAAACCCTGTTTGCACTTTGTGTGGTAACATCACACCTAAAGAATTGCTGAAGTTCACCTCAGTGTTTTGAGGGTTAAAAATGCTGACATTTGAACAAAAATACCAGGCACTAGATACTGTACTAAAAGGAGGAAGTGCCAAAGCAGGAAAGTGAACAGCTGAAATGCCAATGAAAGACATGTCCTATCCTGGAAACTACACTTGCTGAGCTCTGGAGAAGGTTCTCTCTTATAACTGGGTGGTAGCCTAGTCATGATATTGGTGCAGCTTTAAAAAAGCACATTCTACTAGCTAATTCTAAAAAGGGTGGCAGTCCAAACAAAAAGTTCTAACATAAAAACCAGGAATCAGACCAGCACCATGCTTGGTACAGGGGGAGAAGGCAGTCTGCTCCTGCTTTGCGCCAAATTTCAGGACATTTGGGCAAAAACGTACGATTTTTAAACATTGTTTTTACCCTGTGCAGAAGCAAATTACCAAAAATCTCAGGGGATTGAAAAAAAGATCAAATACATTGATAAGAAAAAATGCATGCCTGGAAAAAAATGGTCCCTTGCAGCCTCTTTTTAAAATTTCAAATAAATGAAACAATGCTTGGCTCAAATAGCCCTTTAGCTATATATTTCCTATTCAAGGGTAAAGGGAAATAACTTGGGATAACAGGGAATATAACATGACATACATTATCACATATTATCCGTACTTAAACATATTACATTAAAGACTTTTGTGTCTGTTAGTTACCTATATAATTCCAACTAGAGTTATTTGACTATTTTGTATTAAAATTACCGCATATCTATAACCTGGCCACATATTTTTAACTACTTTTAGAAAGACATTTTAAAAAGAGATAAGATTGAGCAGCTCACTCATTAACTTGTAAAATTAATGGGTTTTCTGTGCTATGTCTGGAGATTTTCTCAAAGCACAGTTATCTGGTTTACTCATGAGAAAGGAGACAGCAGCAGCAGCAGCAGAGGACAGCTGCAGCATTGGGGGGGGATTGCAGTTACTCATGAGTAAGGAGACAGCAGCAGCAGCAAAGGACAGCTGCAGCATGGGGGGGATTGCAATGAAAGTGAAGGAGACAGATGGGAGGGAAAACCATCTTGCTTCTCCCACCTTCTTCACTCTATATGAGTGACTTACTCCTGAAATGTTAAGAACTATGCTCAGATCTTGCAAACCAACAGCATCTCACGTTAGGTTTTCCTCTTTTCCTGCTGCCACGACCCTTTCCTAGCAATACTGTATTTTCCATTAAGTTCTACTCAGATCTTGGAAACTAACATCTGTGGTTTCTTTTAATGAATCAATCCATGTCATGTTAGATATTCCTCTTTTCCTACTGCTCCACTCCACTTTTCCCAGCAATATAGTCTATTCTGGTCATTTCTGTATTTGCATTATATGTACATGGTAGGTATTTTAAAAGGTGTTTTAAAAAGAGATTAATATTCAGCAGCTCATTCATTAAAGCTGTGAAATTACTGGGTTTTTTTGGGTGGTTTTTGCATTGTGCCTGGAGATTTTCTCAAAGCAAATTTTACTTTGCCAAAGCTCATACAAGAGAATCAGTTAGCCCACATTCACACACCTACACTCAATCCTCAGTGTAGCGAAGACTCAGAACAGGCAAGAAAACTCTAGAGTGTAGCCAGTCTGAGAAGCAATATAGCAGCCTCCCCTTGCCATGCCTGGATGTGTAATGGTTGCTTGGTCAGGTGGTTGGAAAATAGAGACTCTTGAATATGAAACAGAGAATGCTAATCAGCTGTTTGTCTGGGAAACTAATTGTGATGAACCGCTGAACCAGCAGTTCATCCCCATCTCTAATTATGACCCTACAGTGGTGCCCCGCTTGACGAGAATAATCCCTTCCAGCGAAATCACTGTAGAGCGAAATTGTCATCAAGTGAAAGTAAAAAACCCATTAGAATGCATTAAAAACCGGTTAATGCGTTCTAATGGGGGAAATACCTCATCGTGCAGCAAAGATTCTCCATAGGGCGGCCATTTTCCGGTGCCTGTAAAGTGAGGAATACGTCCTAAACATAGCGGGGAGCCATTTTGCGACCCACCGATCAGCTGTTTTAAAACCATTGTTAAGCGAAAAATTGGTTCCCTTAGCAGGGAACCGATCATCGTTAAGAAAAAAAAAAAACCCTTTGAATCATCGTTTTGAGATCGCAATAGTGATAGCAAAAAAGTCATTGTAAAGCAATTTCCCCATCAAGCGGGGCACCACTGTATTTTTGTCACCTTTTGCTTCTGCTTCTTATCTAACAATAATAATTTTAAGCATTTAATCTGTCATTCTTTGAGACTTTTCTTTTGTCTACAGAAATAGCCTTTTTGCAATCTTCCATAACAACATCTCTGGTTTCAGTCCAAAGCTCTTCTGGTTTAAGGTCAATGGAGTTTAGTAGTACAAATCAGTTCTTTACTTGGACTTTAAAAATGTCACAGCCAAAATTAAATATTAAAACAGCAAGTCTGTAAAGGTTTATGGGCAGCTGGAAAATAAACATATTTCATGATCACATTAAAATGGGCACAACAAAAAGATCCAATAGTTCCACAGAAAAGATGCCACCCTACCTTTTTCATTATTTTCTAGGTGACACTTTAAATTCTAATAATCAGCATTTAAAGAGAAATCCAAAAGAACAGTTAAACACTCAACTACATAAGTCTGAATCATCTTCAGTTAACCTCTCAAGATGCCATTAAAGATCTTCCCATTTAAAAGCTGAAAGCATGTTATTTTCAACAGTAATCACAGATACTTTCATCTCTGCCCACCGGACATGCAGTCCCAAAAACTCTTCCCTGGATCCTAAGCAAATGCTTGGCCATTCAAAGCTGACACAAAAGCCAGGGTTTCCATACCGTTTTCCTCGAGGATAATGTCGGACATATTCTCCCACATCATGAGCAGCTACAGCCAACACTTGAGGGTCATCTGATACCTCCAAAAGCTTTGTCAGAATTCTACAATATGAATTTAAATGCATAATAAAATGTTCAGTCTCCAAAAAGTGCTATGAAGTGCTGCTTTATGTATTTATTCCCACATAAAACAACTCAGCATTTACGAGCAGGAATAAATCCGTCACCCAACAAGCAGAATTTTCATTTCATATACATTTTTAATTAGAAGCAAGCTCTAGTGGGACATACTCTCCGGTAAGCAGGGACCGAATAAAGAAATCTGACAAAAAGTTTCCTTGATGCCATAATCCAGCAGGACAATATAAGAAAAAGCAACAGCCACACAACACTGAATTGATCGTCAATTTTCCTCCTACACTAATTCAGTTTAATGTCTATATAATTCAACAAACTGACAAAATATTTTAGCTGCTTAAATATTGTGCAATCTTTCTAGAGCCACGCAGTGCCATATAAATACACTGAGATATAAATGGTACAAAGTTATACATATTTACTCAGGACTAAACCCTACTAAACTCAGTGAGGCTTACGCCAAAGAACGCACACATCATTTATCTGTTTATATCTAGCACACATCCAACACACTTACCAAATGGCTTCAACACTATGTTCTTAATGCATTATCTATTAAATTTTAAACTTACCATGCAAAAAATAATTAAAACCAGCTTATTCTTTTAATAAGCCCATGTAGGGTAAGGGCAGGAGAATGACTGCTTTTTGCATATCTTTTCACTGCATATCTTTTCACATTCTGTATACTCCCTTTCAAAGAGCCATGCTCTTAATTAAGTTAGCTCAGCTTTCAATGAAGGCAAATTAACATTACTGGCAGTTACCAGTTTGCTTCACACACAGCTAAGCCCTTTAATTTGTGTGACATATCTTTAGTTAGTCTAACCTTCAAAGCTTGTGGCACCAAAGTACAAATGAAAGTATTAAAGTCACTTGAACAAACAACTCATTTTCAATGGATAATGCACATCTTTGGAAAGACAAATACTACACTTCAAGGGGCAAGCATTTATGCCATATTCAGATATTAGAGACACAGTATACTGACAATGAACAAATCTGTCTGCACAGGAACTTTTTGAGGATGCAGCCACTAGCTTCTTTCATATATAAACAAGAAGGTATACTGAGCTTTTCTGAAGCAAGGCTGGGTATGTGTACCAAAAGAATACAGTGGTGCCTCGCATAGCGATCGCTCTGTATAGCGATGAAATCGCTTTGCGATGGACTTTTGCCATCGCAAAAGGGATCGCTTTGCAATGGTCCCTATGGGGAAATTTTGCTTTGCGATGATCGCAGGGAAGTGATCATCACAAAGCCTTCATTTTCGGCCAGCTGATCAGTGGTTTCAAAATAGCTGCCGGGTAAACAAAATGGCCGCCCGCTGTGTTTCCTTGCTTAAGAGGCACCGAAAATGGCCGCCTCAATGGAGGATCTTCGCTTAAAGGTGAGTTTTTAGCCCATAGGAACGCATTAATCGTGTTTTAATGCGTTTCTATGGGCTTTTTATTTTCGCTTAGCGATGTTATCGCTTAGCAGTGATTTTTTCTGCATGGATTAACATTGCTAAGCGAGGCACCACTGTACATAAAAAGTACACACTGTAGTACAATATTGTGCTGTAAATATGCCAGCCATTGCTTGAACCAAAACAGCTGTGGAGCTAGTTCAATGTATACAAATGAGTTGTGAATCTGCAGTTATCAAAATAAACTTCACTATGTTCCATGGTTCACTTATTCTAAAACTGAATTTCGAAAGTGTAAGTAATGTGATACAGGTATAGGCTGTTCAATTGAAGAGGTCACAGTATCTGGTTCTGTTGTTTTCAAAAATTCAATTACATACCCGTGGCCTTGCTTTGCTATTCAGACTTAAACTTTAAACTTAAACTCAAAATTCTAAGATGGGAAAGGGGGGGGGAGAGTGAATCAGAAAAACTTACTTCAAAAGTTCATAGTTTTTTTCATTTAATCTTACAGCATTCTCTCTCCAGAATTTCTCAGATTTATGGACAGGGCTCCATTCTAGCCTTCCTGACTTCAGCTCAGAACTGTACTCGTCAAACGAACTGCAGAATAAACAGAATAGATTGAGGAACAAACCTGCTGCTCAGGAACAATGTATGCTATAACTCAGTGGTCCCCAACCTTGGGCCTCCAGATGTTCTTGGACTTCAATTCCCAGAAATCCTGGCCAGCAGAAGTGGTAGTGAAGGCTTTTGGGAATTGCAATCCAAGAACATCTGGAGGCCCAAGGTTGGGGACCACTGCTAATATAAACAATGAGACATTAGTGAGATTTGCACATTTCAAGCAAGAAAAAAATTCCATATACGTATTTATTTCTTTTTCTATACTGCCCCATTAGTGTTGTCATTCTCTGGGCGGTTCACAATATGCAATAAAATCATACACTAAAACCACCACACAATAGGTAAAACAACACAATAAAGTGCAATAAACTCTGACACAAGCTAAAACAACTTTAATTAAAATCATATTTAAATTAAAACCCATTTGAACACTGCAGGACAATATTCTCAGTAGTAGAAGGCAGCTTTATATAATTTGGTGTTAATTAAATTCCCTAAAATAGAAAGGACCTCTATAAGAGGCTTGTTCCAGAGGGAAGCAAGGTATCCCATGCTAGAGGGTTTTTTTATATAAAAAAAGCCTACTCATGGTAATGAAAGGTGTATGCTCTTCTTTTCTAGTTTTTATAATTTCTCAAACTAAAATTAGGAACTACCTAAGCCAACTAATCATCTTCAGTCAATGTGCCCATTAATTTTCAGCTTCACTGGGCAGGGCTGTGCCTCTCACACACACAACTTTGCCCCCGTGTGTGTGTGCGTGACTGCACCCCCACCCACACGTGAGGTTCCCTCAAGACAGGAACCAAAGGGGCTGAAAACAATCAATGTGTGGAGGAGGAGGGACGCACGCGCCTTTGGGGGAACCTTGTCTGCAGTTATTTGTTGCTGGTGGACTTCGCCTCCTTCTTGACTCTAGGTTGTCTCCATTATTTCTTTCACGTTGTATTCAGAATCTACAGTATCTGAAAATATAATGGCTGAAATCCTGTTGCTTTGTTACACACATGCAGAAAGCAAATGGTGTAACACTCAGTCAATTCTAGCTAGCAGTTAATGAGCTCCTACTCAGATTCTTGAGTACATGCCAAACCAGTAGGCAAGCACTCCCCTAAGAATCACACTTGTTAAATGTCAGGTAGAAACAACTGAATGTTATGCCTTCTGCCTTTCACATGTGGAACTAAGCAATAGGATCCCAGACAATATATTGGTAACCTATCTCCCCAATAACTGGGGGTCTGTTTGATCTTGACAGATGTTGAGTGGAAATCCATTATCAAATGCAGGCAAACTACCAGGACATATCTCCTGTACAAAAAAAGAAAAGAAAAAGAAAAAAAAACCCACTCTAGAGATAAAATTCACCTGAGGTCCTGGACACTTTCTCCAAGTTTCTCTAAAAGAAATTTGATATCCTCACTTATATCTTCATCATCGTATTTCTGTTGCTCTAGGTTCTCTAGTTGCTTTAGAACCTTGCATTGGATCATGGCAAGAGCATATTCTTGACGAGTTTCCCTTTCAGTAGACTTTTCTAGTAAATTCTAGAAGGAACAGAATTTATAAAGAACTTTATAAAGACTTCGTGTATAATCAAGTTAAAATGTGTTGTTATTGTTGCTCTTTGACTTAAATACTGCTGCACAGCGCTGGAGCATTCTCTGGGCAATTTAATTATGCAAACAACAACTTGCCCTCCAGCAAGCTGGGTACTCAATTTACCAACCACAGAAGGATGGAAGGCTGAATCATATCCTCCTTATACCATCACTCTTAATACAAACAGATTTTAATACCTCTTGATGTCACTATATTCCCATTTCCAGCCACTTCTAACAAGCATTCTGTGCAATCAAGAGGATAACACGATTTACTAAGGATTCTTTATATGTCATCATAGTTTCTTATTCTTTTCTCAAAATAATTTAACAAGTTGCTAGAAGCAAAGAGCATGGATTTTAAAGAAGAGTATTTTAAACAATGCATTTGTCTTACTTCAAAAACATCTAGTTTAAGTATGTGTAGGTGTGGTAGCAGTTAACTTTGTTAAAATTAGGATGTCACTGAAACAACTGCAGGAGCTGAAAGTTTTGCTGTAACACTGAAATGGGTTCTTGTTCCAGTTTCCTTTCTGTACAGGAAAGCTGAATGAATGGTAGCACAACACTACCATTCATTCAAGAGAAACCATTCCCTGCCGGTATTATCTTCGACCTCCTAAATATATGCATGCACGTCTCCAGAAAAAGGCCTAGCCTTGTTATTTAACAACATTCTGACCCAACAATATTAAAAGTAAAAAAATAAAAATGAAGTGATCCTTTCTTGGAATCTGGCACATCAAGGGCTAGTTGTGATATTTTGCATTTGGTCTGGAACTGTGTAGCCATTTTCCTTCTAAACAGCAAGAGTCTGGAGTCCCACCACCACCAATGCATGCTAGTAGCATGGAATGGTGGGAGGGCTGATAGTAGTGGCTAAACCCATTGAGAAGGTCCAGACCAAAACATCAGTAAGCTGCAACGAGTTAAATCTCCCTTACTCCCACAATGCAAATACAGCTCATGATCCCCATTCCAATCCTGGGGCAGCTGCTGGTTACAGAGAAAACGGCTACAAAAGGATGGAATAAATTTTGGTTCCTAGATTTGCAAGAAGAATGTTCTTCTAATGTGTGTTCTTCACTCACCCGGAATGCCGCAAGAATAATTCTAGTCACTTTCTCCTTTACAGATTCCTGAAGGATGTCAGACAGGACTGGAACAATATTGTAACGCCTCAGATGTTCACACATTTGAGGACTGAATGCCAGCAGCCAGATAGAGAAAATCATCTGATACTGAAGCTGGAAACCACATTTGTTACTCAACACACCCATGATACTGCAGGGGATGAAAAACATACAAAACATATAATTTAACAAAAGCTGTTGTTGTTATGTGCCATTGGAACGAACCTAATAGGGCTTTCAAGGTAAATGAGATATTTAAGGAATGGTTTTATCAGTTCCACACACAAGAATTTCCATGGCTCACAAGATATTTGAATCCAGTCCTCCTGAGTCTTACTCTGTCCATTATACCACAAAAGCTAAGCACCTGTTATTGAGACTTTAAGTGCCTGCAATCGTAAGTCTTTGTGCTCTTAAGTTCTTAAAAAAAACCCTGGCCATTTAAGGAAAAAAACCCCTATGAAACACTAATATGCCACAAGGTGACCATCATTTTAGAAAGCCATTTAGAAGCACTTCTGTTCCAGGAATCCATTATAGTCAAATCACTTGCTCTTCACACTACATTTGAAAAAGAAACTGCTTCCAGACATATGCTTCTCTAGGAAATATTACACAAAAACAGATGGCAGATTATAATTCAGTCAGTGTTCTTATGTAATGTTAGGCTGCTGCCTGGGGTCAGTTACAGGGACCATATAGCTATCCAGATACAATAGTTCCACTGGTCACCAGTCCATTTGCAGGCACAAATCACAGTGCTGGTTATGAGCTACAAAGCTCTATCCACATGGCTTCAGTCCAGTCTATCTGAAAGACTGCATTTCTCCTTATGAGGCATCCAAGCGCCTATGATTGTCAGCAAAGCCCTTCCCTCTGCCCCATTGCTAGTGCAGGCATGGTTGATGGGGATATGAGAGAAGGCCTTCTCTACGGCTACTCCCAGGTTGTGGAATGCTCTCTGTTGGGTGGTTAGGTTAGCCCCCTCTCTTCTTCTGCCAAGAACTGAAGACCTCCCAGATGCCGTATCTACATTCTTTTAAAATGTGTTTCTGAACCTTTTAAAGGTTTAAGGTAACAATTTTTAATCCCTACTATATGTTTCATAGGTTTTCAACTCTGTTATTTATTGTGTCTTTAAGTCCAACTTATTTTAATTATTTGTGATCTGCCTTGGGTCTCTTCTCAGCACAGAAGATAGCACAGAAAACAAAACATTGCCAGCCCTAACACAATCCTATTATTGTCTCCACTTTGCCAGGAAATTACTGCTGATGCAGATGTGTCAGTTTTAGGATCCAGACCTATCAATGCTCAGTCTTGCTATAAGAATTTAACAAAAGCCCCATCATTATTATACAGAATTAGTTAGGAAGGTACATTAAATAGTTCTCTGTTGAAAAGTTGTAATCTAGGCATATAAGTAAAATATTCAGAATTTGTCAGGAGATATGGACTTGACACTGATTCAGGTTTGGAATGTAAAGTTGCTCATTGAGACAAAAACACACAACTGCTCAGCAGAACTGAATATAGTATACAGTCTCAAAAAAACCCCACTCTATAAATAGTTTAACTTTTTCCATGCAAGACATACTTACCAGTTTACGCCATCTGATTCTACCCATGCAAAGCGGTATTCATTGACTCTAAGCATCAATTGCAAACATCCAGCAACACATTGGACATATTGTGAGCTCTACATGAAAGAAGAACAAAGCATTACTCTAAATACAAACACTCACCACTGGGTGGGGAAAATGCTGAAGATAAATATGTAAGAACAACTAAGATGTTTCCAATAGGTTCTTCAACGCAACTAAGATTAGCCCATCATACCCAAGCCTATTTCAATTCCAAGGCTGGATTCAGCAATTGGTGCAAGAACTTTTGAGCCACAGTGCTGGATAAGGACAAGCAGATGGCACCACTTTCATGAAATGATGCTGTTAAATTATCTAATTTGCTAGAACAGTAGCTTAAAAAGTAAGAGAAATGTAACCAAGACAGGCTGAACAGCTTAATCCAACAGTGTGATGATATTATTAATACACTCTCCATTCTCTACATGTTTCTACTCCATCCCAAGTTAAGTCTATTAGACAATTATTGGAAAAATAGACCAGATGGTCAGTGTATACAACAAGGATAAACTTTCCACAAATATCACAAATGTTGTTAATGGAGCAACAACATTTTCAAACCTATCCTAGGCTGTACCAATAGCTTGATCAACGTATATAATAATTTTAAGGTTGTCTCTGTATTATCAAGCTAAGGTGCCTCAAGACAAAGACAATTGCACATGCAACAGGCCATTATACTGATTGTTGTCCTTTTCAAAACATTTTTAAAATCTAGAATATCCGGAATGTATCTGTGTTTATTCTGCCATGAGGCAAAAGCATCATCCCAACCTATGTACATATAGCTTTAGTTCACGAGTGAAGATGCCTTCTTCCTGACATGGTTAAACAGTTATCTTCATTGGGATGGGGGAGAAGAGGGATGTGATTACTACAGAATTGTGTTTTCCACATCAATATCACAAGATCTTTCCACACTATCATCAGGGGAATAATGACCTGCAGAAGGCTGAACTGACTGACCACTGGGTTCAACTGCATGCAGTTTACAATTCTGAAATCCAGGTGAACAAATGGTGGCAAAGGAGGAAATCTAAGTCTGTTTTCACTACTTCAGAAAAGATACAAAGCACCACAATTGTTTTACCAGTTCCCAAGTCCCTATAAAAACGGATGAAAACAACATTATCTAGTTAAACCTAAGTCTATCGAAGTAGAAGTCAAACCAAGAAAAGGTCATCATACAAATGAGATATACTTGTGCACCATCACTCACCAATTTCAATGGAATTGAAATATTACAGTAAATGCTTGAAACATGAAAACTGACAGAATTCTTTTGGAAGCTGGAAATGCCAAATACCTCTGAAAAATGTCCTCATTTATAAAAAGTCTTTAGTAACTGCTATCAAAGACAAACAGGTGACAGTCTGTAAATGCACTGGCAAATCTATCTGTCTATCATATTTTGGCATTCATTACGAATTAAATTTTAAAAATCAATTTTTATTTAAGTCATCAAAAATCATTTTATAATTTACACAGTCAAAAAATTGGATTTTTAAAAAACTAAATCATGTTTTAAATAAATCTGATTTAAATCAAATCCACTCTGAAATCAGTAAAAGTGTTGTATCTCCTCTGTGGGTGGAGGAGAAGGGACAGTCAATGATTTTCCCTTCTCCTATCATCTCTGTTCCAAAGGGTCCTCAGGTCCTCTGCAGGAAGGAGAGAAAGAATCAAGAAAATTCTCCTCCTGCGACAAAAATCTTGGTTGTGTTATTAAGTCACATTTGACTTAAGTTAACCCTAAAATAGTTTTGAAAGTGTGTGAGAAATTTTAAAGAGTGGTTTTATCTGTGCCACAGCCCAGTAGGTTTCCATGACTAAGCAGGGATTGGAATCCAGGTCTCCTGAGTCCTAGGCTAACATTGTATCTCCTACATTATGCTATTTCTCTGAACAAAACCTTGGTGCGATCAAAATGCCTTCCACCAGTAGAGGGATAACGATAAGGAACAGCCCCTGTTAACTTCAGGTAAGTGGCTCCCTTGCTATTGTGGTAATGTAGAAATAAAGATTCACATCAAAGTCTACATTCCCTTCAATGTAAACTATGATGAGACTTAGTACATATGCACTTTTGAGCTCACTTGCTAAGTCCTATTGAAGGACTTCTGTATTAAAAAAACCCTCCTATGATTGCTCACATCCAACACACTCCTATTGAAGGACTTCTGTATTAAAAAAAAAACCTCCTATGATTGCTCACATCCAACACAGAGATTATGTCATTTTGCTCATATAAATGAATGCAATTAACACTTTGTCCGACCTTAGTAAATATACAGTCATGGCCAAAAATATTGGCACCCTTGCAATTCTATCAGAAAATTCAACCCTTCTCTCAGAAAATTGTTGCAGTTGCAAATGTACTCACATGTTCATTTCTTTGGTTTGCACTGGAACAACACACACAAAAAAGAGAAGAAAAAATTCTTTGGTTTGCACTGGAACAACACACACGAAAAAGAGAAGAAAAATTAAATCTGATACAATCCCACACAGAAACCCAAAATGCATTGGCCAAAATTATTGGCACCCTGTCTAAATTGTAAGAAACAATTGCTTTTCAAGCATGTGATGTTCCTTTAATTCGTATTTAGACATACCTGTTGCAAGTAAGAGGTGTGAGCAATATAGTAATCACACTTGCAACCAGTTAAGATGGAGAAAAGTTGACTCACCCTTTGTGTTGTGTGTAACACTGAACAGGGAAAAAAGAATGAAATGTAGGAGAAAAGTTGACTCACCCTTTGTGTTGTATGTAACACTGAACATCGAAAAAAGAATGAAGTGTAAAAAGTTGTCTGTGGATTTGAGAGAAAAAAATGTGGAAAAACATCAACAATCTCGAGACTACAATTTCATCTCCAGAGATCTTACAAAATGTGGAAAAACATCAACAATCTCAAGACTACAATTTCATCTCCCGAGATCTTAATGCTCCTGTGTCCACTGTGCGCAATATCATCAACAGGTTTCCAGCCCATGGCACTGTAGCTAACCTCTCTGGATGTGGACGGAAGAGAAAAATTACTGAAAATTACAATGAAGGGTTGTTCAAATGGTGGATACAGAACCCAGACAAATTCAAGCTGATCTGCAGACACAGGATATAACAGTGTTAGCTTGCACTATATGTCACCATCTGAATGAAAAGGGACACTATGGTGGGAGACCCAGGAGGACACATTTCTGACACAAAGGCATAAAAAAGCAAGACTGGAGTATGCCAAAACTTATGTGACAACACCACAATCCTTCTGGGAGAATGTACTGTGAACAGATGAGACAGAAGTAGAGCTTTTTGGTCAAGGACATCAAGGCACTGTTTACAGAAGAAGTGAGGCATTCAAAGAAAAAACACAGACCACACTGTCAAATATGGTGGAGGTTCAAAGATGTTTTGGGATTGCTTTGATGCTTCTGGCACTGGATGCCTTGACTGTGGTGAATGGTATCATGAAATCTGATGATTAATAAAGAATTTTGGGGTGCAACTTAGTGGCCAGTGTCAGAAAGCTGCGTCTTCACCAGAGGTCATGGGTCTTCCAGCAGAACAATGACCCAAAACACATTTCAAAAAGCACTCAGAAATGTTTACAAATGAAGCGCTAAAGAGTTCTGAGATGGCCAGCAATGAGTCCAGATCTGAATCCCATAGAACACCTGTGGAAAGATCTCAAAACAGCAGTTGGGAGAAGGCATCCTTCAAATCTGAAGACCCTGGAACAGTCTGCAAAAGAAGAGTGATCCAAAATCCCAGTAGAGAGGTATAAGAAACTCATTCATGGTTACAGGAAGATTGATTTAGTTATTTTTTCAAAGGGAAAAAAAACAACAGTGTCAGCTTGAACTATCCGTCGCCATCTGGATGAAAAGGGACACCATGGTAGGAGACCCAAGAGGGCACCACTGCTGACACAAAGACCAGTGTCAGAAAGCTGCGTCTTCACCAGAGGTCATGGGTCTTCCAGCAGAACAATGACCCAAAACACATTTCAAAAAGCACTCAGAAATGATTACAAATGAAGCGCTAAAGAGTTCTGAGATGGCCAGCAATGAGTCCAGATCTGAATCCCATAGAACACCTGTGGAAAGATCTCAAAACAGCAGTTGGGAGAAGGCATCGCTCAAATCTGAAGACCCTGGAACAGTCTGCAAATGAAAGAGTGGTCCAAAATTCCAGTAGAGAGGTGTAAGAAACTCATTCGTGTTTACAGGAAGCGATTGATTTCAGCTATTTTTTCCAAAGGGGGTGCTACCAAATATTAAGTTAAGGGTGCCAATAATTTTGGCCAGTGGATTTTGGGGTTTCTGTGTGGGATTGTATCAGATTTGACTTCTCTGGTTTTTTTGTGTTGTTCCAATGCAAACCAAAGAAATGAACATATGAGTACCAAAACATTTACAACTGCAACAATTTTCTGAGAGAAGGGTTGCATTTTCTGACAGAATCGCAAGGGTGCAATATTTTTGGCCATGACTGTACAGCAGATGCCAAACTACCATTAAGCATGCATACTGTCAATACTAAATAAATAAACATTAGTTTTTTTACTATAAGTAGGACTAAATATTAGTAAGACCAGGAGTTCAGAGCACAGATAACAGCTGTGTTGGCTTTACTACACTGACTTTAAATTTTTGCCATTAACTGATTACATTTATCTCCAAAACCAAGAAGCCTATTAAACCTACCCAGGTGTCTTACTTCTGAAAAAACAAAAACATTATCCTTGTGGGCTACTTCAACATACCTTGAAGACCGCAGGTGGTTCACGATGATATGCCAAGTTCAAACTATGTGGTTATTTAACAGGTTATGCCTTAGGGATAGATCCTTGAACTGAGAGCCTCTTTCAACCAATATTGTCTAACTGTCAGAAATGTTATACTTCCACATCGAATGCTTTCAGACCTCTCCCACATTTCCGCACCTGCAACATCATCATACTACAAGAGCTGAAAAAACCTCACCCTTCACACCCACTAAATACTTCCTTCAAACAGGCTGCTATGATTCACCACAGGTCACAAGTATTTCATGCCTTTTGTGCACACTCTCCTTATGCTTCTACTGTGGGGATTATGTTCATGTTAAGGAGCCAATCGTCTGCTTCAAACAAAGGATTACACTCTCCTTTCTTACCTTGAGATAAATGGGCATGTGCTTATGTACAAATGCCACTAAAGTTCTACTGTGGGGATTATGTTCATGTTAAGAAGCCAATCGTCTGCCTCAAACAAAGGACTGCACTCTCCTTTCTTATCTTGTCTACCTGAGATAAATGGGCATGTGCTTATGTACCAATGCCACTAAAACATAAGTGCTACCCGGTGCATCTGCTTAGATGCACTGCTGTGAAAAAGCTATACCAAACAGATGATTTCAGAGCCTTAAAAGACAGACACCTTTGCTGCAAAGAAACTTCCAAATCTTGAACTACGTGGGTTTGTAAAAGCTTTAATATTCAAATCTGAGATCTGAAAAATATACAGTAGTTAAATGTTGGCTATTTTGAAAGCATATCTGGTGTCTATTTCCAACAGGGTGCTGGAGTAGATCCAGATTAAGCCACATTTTATTTCTACTGAAGCGGATTTTGTTCCATTGAAAAAAGCTGAAAATCATGATTAAGCTGTTCCACTGATTTCCACAGGAATAAAACATGTAAAGCTTTAGCAGATCTGACCCAATGTTTGAAGAGGAATATTATGACAACATGTGCAAGTACTTACATCAGTCCCAGGATCATTAGCACTTCCAGAACTTCGTAGTTTCTAGCATGAAAGGAGAAAAGCATTCCATGAACAATCCTATGTATACAGTGCTACACATACAGCATAATTTTAACACAGAGAAAGGGAGAATTGAACAAAGCCTTTCAGTAGACATTTTTCCCCATCCCAGTTAAACTGGAAATAAAATTCTCATCATCCACTATACATGGCTCACTGTCTCTATATTTCATACCTCTGGGGTGACTACATTTTGCTTCCAAATGAATGATTGTGACTTGCTAGCTCCTCTTGTCCCAAAAGAAAGTCTTCTGAACTGTGCCCACATTTTACCTGGAACATACCTATAATACGCTACCACATCAAAGGAGGAAAATGTTTAGTTTTTGGATGGCAACTCCCAGAAGCTGCAACCACAGTCACAGCCCTTGTTTGAACTGGCTGAAGAATTTTGGAAGCTTTACACCAAGAACACAAACATTTACCATCTCTACAACATGCCAGACACCATGATAACATTGAAGTATATATATATAAAATTGGAAATCATCAGTCATTGTCACTTTAATAAGCAGAACAGGAGACTTACAGGATTTGGTTGACTTGAACTAGTCAACTTGAACACTGTAGGAATTATAGCCCCTCACATACAACTCTCTAGTGGAAAATGCTTTAACGCCCCCACCAAAAGCTACTGGTTGATAGAAAAGCAGGTGGAGGCATCCCAAGTGCCAATGGAAGTGGCCAGCAGAAGGAAACATGATTCAATGGCACTGATCCAAGTATCTTCAGGCAGTGACATCCAGCTTTCCCTGGGCTTCACTTGCTCCAAGGCAAGACAGACTGTTGGCAGAAGGAAGCCCACACTCATCATGGAAAACAATGTTATTGCGCTCTAAAGCTGAGTTTGAAAAGCATCTATTTTGTTTTCAATAGAAGCTGTATATTTTACTCTAATGGAACATTTACTTCTGCCATTACATCAGACGTCATTCAGAACAGACAAAGTAGTCTCAATCAGATTATGTATGCATTGTTAACTAATAATTTAAGCTGCAGAACTGTGATGCACAAAAGACAATTAAATAATGACATAAGGCCATACTATCTGTGCTTACTCAGATGTAACATACATTCAATCCAAAGCATATGCTCCCAATTAAGTACAGTGGGACCTCGACTTATGAACATCCCTTCCTATGAACATTTCAACTTACGAACAGCTCCGTTCACAAAAATCTGCATCGACTTGCAAACAGCGCCTTGACCTACAAATGAAAAAAGGCAGGGAAAAGGGTGGAAAATTCAAATTTCCCTGCCTTTTTTTCCGTTGTATTCAAACCGTTGGTGGTAAGGCTGCTCTTTTGCTCCAACGGTTAGGAAAAGGGACCCCCAGGAGGTCTCCGATGGTGGCGAGGGACCCCGGGGAGGTCTCCCAGGCCTGCTCCGCCACGATCAGAGACCTCCTGGCAGTCCCCCGCCACTGTGATCAGACCCCCAGGAGGTCTCCGATGGCGCGGGGAAGCCCTGGGAGCGTTCCTGCCACCATCTGAGACCTCCTGAGGGTCCGATCGCGGCTGCAGGGGAGCAATTTTAAATTTCTCGCCCTTTTCCGCCACCACCATCAGATCCCCAGCAGGTCTCCGATGGTGCAGGGAAGCCCTGGGCGCTTCCCTGCCGCAATCAGAGACCTCCTGGGGGTCCCGTGCCGCTGTGATTGGACCCCCAGGAGGTCTCCGGAGGCCTCCTGGGGGTCCAATCGCAGCAGTGCGGGACCCTCAGAAGGTCTCTGATGGCGGCAGGGAAGCCCTGGGAGACCTCCTGGGGGTTCAATCGTGGTGGCGGAAAAGGGTGTGAAATTTAAAATTGCTCCCCCGCCGCTGCAATCAGACCCCCAGGAGGTCTCCGATGGTGGCGGGGAAGGTCTGGGAGACCTCCTGGGGGTCCCCCGCCACCACGATTGGAGGTAGTAGTCACCCAGCATCGGGAGGCTTGAGCCGAAGCCCGGCCAGCTCAAGTCTCCCGGCCCTGGGCAACTGCTGCCTCTGCCGTGGCTGTGATTGCAGCGGGAGGGGACCCCCAGGTGGTTTTGGACTGGTAAGTGCTTTTTTCTGCGCCACCACGATTGGAGGTGGCTTTTGCAGGGTGTGTTTGGGCTGGGGGGGGTTATGTTTCTTTTTTTTTCTTTTTTTCTTTTTCTTTTTCTTTTTTTCTTTTTCTTTTCCTTTTTTTTCTTTTTTTGAAGTCCCAGCGTGGGACTTGCTCCAATGTTTATTTTTGGATTTGTGTATTTTTGTTTTTTGCAGTCTCAGCGTGGGACTTGCAGTGTTTTATTTTTAATTTTAATTTTTGGGGTGGTATTTTTTTTTCTTCCCTCGGAATGCATTAATCGGTTTTCAGTGCATTCCTATGGGAAATGGTGCCTCGGCCTACAAACCTTTCGACTTGTGAACACCGTTCCAATACGGATTAAGTTCGTAAATCGAGGTACCACTGTATGCAAGAGATTACAATCTTAGTTCTCCCAGTAACTGAGCAAACACTGCATCGCAAGGTTCACATATAAGACATACTGATTTGCAAAAGAGTTTAGTTGGGCTTGCCCAGGAGAACTAAATCAAATTAAATCCATGTGGCTTGATGATAGTGGCTGTTAAATAATACTTGAAATCCTGTTGCTTGCAATAGTAAATCAAATTAGTTTGTTGTTCTGTGCTGTCAAGTCAGAACTGACTTATACAGAGACCCTAATTAGGGTTTCAAGATGTTTAAGGAGTGGTTCTGCCAGGTTTAGGACCTAGCAAGTTTCTGTAGTAGAGCTGGGAAAATCAAACTCAGGGGTCTTGAGTCCTAGACCATCACTCTATCCACTACACCATACTGGGTACCCATTAGAGTAAATCCACTGAATCAGTGAGGATTTGGCCAGTCAAAAGTTTCATTGATTCAAATGGACCGATTTGAGTTGCAACTTATTTTAGCAGAGTAAGTCATAACTAGAGTAGGCTCATTTAAATCAGTGGAACTTATGGAGAAGTTGACCCACCAAATCAACACTGATCCAAAGGGCCTACCCTGCAATATAGTAGATTACAACATATTTACCTGTGAACTGAGCTGGGTTTTGATCCAATTGAAATAATAATTTAAATCACTGCCTTCCATCAGTTCTCTTCCCCAGGCTGCTAGTTTGGCAATGATTCTGGCTGCCTGGAAAATAAATGCAGAAAATAAAGACTCCAGCTGAACTTGACCAAGAATATTGTGATGAAATTGCCAAAAGATGCTCCAGCATCCTTAATGTGCCTGGGCCACAGAAATAATAAGTTTGATGTAGATGTTACAATTTGCAAAACACAGAGCTCATTGCAACCACATAATGCTTTTGATCCAGTAAAGGAAACCAGCTGGTGGAAGAAAGGGTGTATGTCTCACCTTCGCAATTAATTCCTCCATTCCTTGCAGCCACTACCATTATTTCAAAAACACAGAGCTCATTGCAACCACATAATGCTTTTGATCCAGTAAAGGAAACCAGCTGGTGGAAGAAAGGGTGTATGTCTCACCTTTGCAATTAATTCCTCCATTCCTTGCAGCCACTACCATTATTTCAGTGCTGCTCCAGGAGATTCCCTGATCCTTGACAAAGAACTGACAAAACATTTTGTATCCAAGTTCTAATGAAGTCTAATAAGTTTTGAAATAAAAGTTCTACAGAGATATAAAACTACAGACTGAAGAGTGTGTCTAATGGGAAAGATGCTTTTAGACATGACACCTCCTCAAAACAGAAGTGGGCAGCCTTTCGGGAACCCACAGCATCCCTTCATCTAAAGTTTTTGACCTATCAAAACCATACCATATGCACAGTGAAGAGATCTTGCCGATTCAACATTGGTAGGAAATAGGACCATGCTGTGTTTTTGCCCCGTTTTGCAAGGTCAAAGAAAATACTAACACGCTGGTGATTCTCCTGTAAGAAGAATAAACAGAAATGTTTGCATGGAATATCAATTTGGAAGAGCATGCAAATACTGAACAATGAAAGATAGTGCTATAATGCCGAATAACACTGATACAATTGGAAACATGGGGTTCTCCTTCACAAAGCCTTCTAGAAAAATCATTCCAGAGACAATTCAGTACTGTTTGTAGACAAGTAACAATGAAGTGCATAGCTGAATCTAGCAGTCAACGTTGATGATAATCCACTGCCCAGAAAGTGTAGTCTACTCATTAAAAAAACACTACACTGCATTGAATGGATGGCAAAATTAATATTAAATCTTGCTTGAGTACTTCCATTTCATTTGTTGTTCAAAAGCCCATGGTTGATATATATATTGCAATCTCACACACAAAAAA